ACTGCTGAGGCTTTGTTTTTCCTGAGAGGATGAATGAATGTTGAGGAATGTAGTAAAAAGCATTACTTTACTGTAGAGTGAAAAAACATTACTTTCTGCATTACTGGTAAATTTAATCCTGTATTGTTTTAAGACCAGTGGGGCTAAATACCTAGTACATAATATTTACTTCATAGGACAATGTTTATGGAAAGTAATCATTGCAAAAGTTCAGCATGATAATGTTCTTAGGATTGCTTCATTTATTACATTTATTTTATTTGTTTGTAAAATGAAAATTGTATGTAGTGGCATAATGACAGACCTTATTAAAAAAATAATTTTATTTGTAACTCAGTATGTTGAGGGATGCAGTTTAGTAAAGAAGGGGTTAATGATTCATGTCTCCTCCTAGTTACATAAACAGTTCATTATTAATGAGAGATTATGTGGATAACCAAGTCAATTTTGTATGCTGATATGAGAGTTAAGAATAAAAAAATAAAAAAAAAAGCAGAAAGACAGATGAGTCAATAAAGAATGTATTAAGATAACTCTCTCAGTGATTAATGCTTTGTTAAAATGACATGTACAAGATGAACAGTAAATGTGGAACTAAAAACCAATGTCAGTTTTAGCAAAGACCAATATAAGGAGCAGCATTTGATGATGTCTGGAAACCAGTTATTTTGCATGTGATTTATTTAACTGTTTCATTGGAGTTTTTATTTATTTAGATGTGTGTGTGTTTCTTGTCATTTAGGGCAGAGAGATATCCAATGTTACTGTTGCAAGTAGAGGAGAATATTTACTGACTGTACTTGAGTAGGCATGCTTACACCTATGCATCTGTGTATGTGTGAAGTTGAATGCTTTATATAATGATCTTGCATACAAGAAACATGAGAAAATGGTATTGCCCAAAGTGGTAACTGAAAGAGTCATTAAAAAGGAGTATGTGTTGAAAACTTTTCCATTTTCCATTTAGACTATGATATCAGTTTTTTGTTCTGTCATTTCTTCAAAATCAGCCATAAGCCCACAAAAGGTTGAATCAGAAATCCATGTACTATTTTAATATTTTAGCATCTGGGCAGAAAACATTTTAGTGCTATAAAATTCTAAAAATTATTGATTTTAATTACTTTGTCTTTGACTGGTATATTGTACAGTTGCTCCTGTACCACCAGACAACATCCTCATTATAACATTAGAACAAAATTTTAGATAATGAGCATGATCTATTCAGACAAAATCACAGTTTTATTAAAGTAACTGTGAACAAGATTTTTTTTAGTATTTTTCCTAAAAAATTGTTTTACCAAACATTAGTAATGATGATATTTATCCTATTTTATAAAAAGAAAATATTGTTTGCACTAAACATAGGCATGTTTTTTTTAAGTTATTGAACTTATGCAAAAATAGATACAACAAAGAATAATACAATATCATCCCAAAAAGATCTTACAGTATAGAGACTTTTTTATATATGCACAACATTAAAGTAGCCTAGCATGTAGTCTGCTTTCTGTGAACAAGAATCAAAGGATTAGTAGTAGAATTTCAAAGATTATGATTAGGAAGATATCAGTAGCACATTTTTGAGTAGTTAAGAGGCAGTGTTATCAAAGTTTAGAATAAATATTTTTCCTTTTCCTTTTTCTTTTCTTTTTTGGTAGGTTCTAGTTACTGTATTTTTATTTTCAGTGTATTCTACGTTGGGACTTCAAGCTATTCTCTGCATTGTTTACTTTATTCTAAGTGTGCAGTTGGTGTATGGTGTTAAAATGGTAAGTCTCTGTGTTTAAAGAAAGTATTCAGTTGCTTAATTGTGATATGGAACCTGCATGATAAAGCAGAAATCTACTATAATGTTGCATTTATAGCCATCTTTAGCAGTAGTGAGAATAATTATAATTAACTCATAGTTGATGGGATAGCAGCAATGTCCTCTGTGTCTTTTTGTTTACTGATTGTCTTTGGGCATAGATGACTCAATATTGCTTAATCACCAAGGAGTTAATCATTGAGCCTACGGAGCTCACCTGTTTACTTCTGTCCTTGATTTTTGAAATACTCATATTTGTATTGCTATTAGTGTTGTCAATAACATTATAATCATCTTATTGTCAGTAACAACAGCAACAACAATGTTAATAGTATTAGAAAAAAATATTTATTCCCAAAAACTCAAATTGGCTCCTTGATGGCTCAATATCTATGGTGCTATCAATGTGCATATTAATAGATATTCCTTATTTCATATTGTTGGGATTATTTTTATTATTATTTTAGTATTTATATTGTTTTTAATACCATTATTGTTTTTTAATATTGGTATCTTTATTTTATATTCATCATCATCGTTATTATTATATATATATTCTTTTTAGTTACCATTAATATTATTGTTAGTATTTTTTTTATTATTATTACTATTATTATTATTATTATTATTATTATTGTTATTATTATTATTATTATTATTATTATTATTATTATTATTATTATTATTATT